GATACGTGAGCAGAGAGGCTCAGAGTACCCTTCCTTAAAATAGCCTCGGAGTGGAAACAACCCAAATGTCCATTCACGATAGAATAGACAAATAAAGTCTGGCCCAGTCCTTCAGTGGGATACGGTACAGCGGTGAAAGCGAGTATGTGTACACTTCATAGAGTAATACGAACGAACTGCAGAATGTTCAACAAAAGAAGCAAGACACCAAAAAAAATGCAATACGATGCCATTTATATAATCTTTCAAAACATCTAGTAAGAAGTGAAAAATGTTCATTCTAATAATTTCATTACTTTATCTAGTCAAGCATGACACAACATCCCGAAGGCCATCGAGGAAATCCACACAGCCCAAGCCGCAAGTTGGGTCCTGTGGACCTTTCCCAGGATCTCTGTGAATCCCCAGCCTCACCAGATCTCCTGGCCCTGGTGCTTCAAGGCCGGCTCTTGCTAACCTAGCCGCCTCTGGGCTGGGCCCACCCCTCAGAGCTGTTCTCTCTCTGCTGCACCACTCCAGCCAGGAGCCCAGCGGGCTTCCATTGCCCAACCCCCCAAATAAAAACTCCCCAAAATGTATGTGTGCACAGCCCTGACTACAGTCCTGTGGCAGTGTGGTTCAGTGGGCAAGCGGATGGGCCCCTGGGCTTTGACTTGGGGTTCAGGTCTCATCATTTAAAGGCTTTGTGATCTTGAGCAAGATACGTAACCCTTTTGTGCTTCCCTCCCTTACCCCCCAAGCAAGCCTATTAACAGTATCCATTTCATAATGGCCATTGTGAGAAGTAAACGACGTAAGCCACCTAGTGTGCCAGGCACGGCCCATCTGCCTAGTAAATATTCCGTGTTAGTCTTACCCGCGGAAGTACAAACAGCATAAATGAATATTATACAGCCTCCAATCCTGGGGATTTCTCACCAGGCAGGTTTCTCCACATCCTCTATGTCTTGCCATGTCCATGGCCACTCCTACCCCCAGCCAATTATCTCCCAAGGCCACCTTTTCCATTTCTGGACTTCCTTCACTCATACCCTCCAACTCAGTTCTGTTCTTTCTCAGAGCAAAGTACCTGCCCCCTGGCCCCCTACATGGCTCCTGGCCGGCCTCTGCACAGCCAAAAGCACCCGCTCCTGGTGACAACAAACAGCAGAGGCTGCAAAACTTCACTCTCCCTGGCTCCCGTCTCCGAGTCCCTCTATGTGGACTGAGCAGAAGGGAATTTATTTTCCCACAGAAATGAGTGATGTACTACCTATCAATTGGAGAAGGCTAGTCACCTCAGGTTTTAAATAACAAAATTTTCACTCTGGCTCTTAAATTGCCGAGCTAGGTTCCCTGTTCAACTTGTATCCACTGTCTTCTCAGTTCAACAACTCCCCGTGGAGGGTGATGAGAGCTTGCTCTCCTGCTTCTGCATTTCTAGCTCTCATCCTGATCAGCCCCTGGGAGGATGCCATCTATGGGGCTCAAAATTGTCCTCTTCACATCTGGATCTGAAGGCACACGGCGTCCCTCTTTCTCAGGAGGGAAATAAAATAGGGGGAAAGGAAAAGAGTTCTTGCTATAGGAGCTGGAGATCTCTGGTCTGGCCCACTTGATATGGACTGAGATTAAAATGGCCAAACCACGAAACTTGTCTCTGCATGTTATTTTGGGGAATTTTCTCCCATAAACTAGAAAAGAAAAGAAGGGGACCTCAAGCCTTGGAGATAAGAAAATTCCTTTGTAAAAAGCAGGCCTCTTGGGCAGATAATCAGGACATGATGAGAAAGTTGAGGCATCAGCATACTTGCTTTAGAAGCCAACCAGGCCCCATCTCCAAATGGGTATGAACTGGCTCCACATTCAGGAGCAAAACAGGTCCTATGAGTACATTTTTTTCTAAATCAAATTAAATATAGCTCTGGGCCTCTACTTGACCAAGGTAGCAAGAAATTCGCTCTCAGCCAGGTTATGGGGTGCCCCTTCTGCATCCCTAGGGTGCTAAAGGAGTCTGTCCAAAAATGTGGGGCAAGGTCTTTGGTTTTTAGGCCATCCTGGATGATGCTGTGGATCCTCATGCTTCCTGTCTCAGCTCTTGTGGCCCATTAGAAGGTGGACTGCCACGTTCTTCCTGAGCCGTGCTTGGACACCGAGGTCTTTAGCCCCGTGGCTTAGGGATTGGCCTTCTGTTTATCTCATCAGAAACTGTAACCAACTGGGTGCTGCATGGCAAGGGGGTGGGAGGAGAAATCCACTGCACTCCAGCTTGGGAAATCTGACCCCTCTATCAGAGGTCACACCACTCCTCACTTCCTCAGCCCTCCAGCCCGTTAGTAGCTGAGTAATGGTCCCCTAAGATACCCACATTCTATTCTCTAGAACCAGGGAATGTTATCTTCTATAGCAAAAGGGACTGTGCAGATGCAATTAAGTTAAGGATCCTGAGAAGGGGAGAATATCTTTCAAGCTCTAAATGTAATCACAGGTGTCCTTATAAGAGGGAGGAGAGGGAGATTTGACTACAGGAGAAGGCAATGTGGTGATGGAAGCAGATCCTGCAGTAATGTGCTTTAGGATGGGGCCACAAGCCAAGCCACACAGGCAGCATCTAGAAGCAGGAAGAAAAAGGTGAGGAAACATTCTTCCAGAGGCTGCAAAAGGAATGCAGCCCTGATTTTAGCCCAGTGAGACCCATTTCAGGATTCTGACCTCCAGGATTGTAAGATAACACACTTGTGTCTTTTTAAGCCTGTAAGTTCATGGTGATTCGTTATGGTGGCAACAAGCACCTAATACAGCTCCTTTTCCCCATGGACAATTGAGCTCTTTAGCCTAGACTTTTGAAAATCAAAGTTTTAGTAAGGTGAAGGAAACCCAGTCCTCCAGGATGGAAACACTGGGCTGCTCTCTTGGAGAAGAAGGGAAAATATCGTTCTTTTATGAGTTCAAGCAGGAAGTAAGACACCATTGATCTCTCAACTACATTATCCCGTCACTCAGGATCATTTGGAGTCTTCGTCATCGGGGGGTCCTCCAGGAAACCTACTGGAACTGGAAGGATGCAACACAGGCCCCGTAAAGCTTGGGACCACACAGGTCTGTAACCAACACTTGAAGAACCCGTCCTTGGCTGGATTGGCCTCAGTCTCCTGGGCTAGATAAAGCCTGCTGGCCAATTTTTCCTGAAGAGGAGCGTGGTGGATGGCCTCCTAAGAAGGACTGCCCAAGCAGAGGCAGGGCTCATTGAAGACTCACCAGGAGAGGGAATGAGCGCCAGGCTGTGGCTGGGCAGAGGGGAACTGAACATGAGCGCAGAGGGAGGAGTGGGGAGGTCCACTCCGTCCATTTGGGGTGCTGCTTCCGCTGGTGCAGGAACGGAACAGGGCTGTCCCTCCCTGCTCTCACACTACAAAAATAGGACATTGACAGCAAAGAATTTCACTTATTTGGGGGAAATCTACGTCCTATATCCTATATGTTAATCTTGCTTTGTTTTGCTTTCCCAAGATAATATTTTATATTTTAGGGGTGTGAAAAAGTCTGTCCTCTTCACTTTTCTCATAAAAACATCAGGTGATCATCTGGTTAAAGGCAAGTATATCCATTTCCCACTGCTGCTGTAGCAAATGGCCATGAACTTAGCAGCTTAAAACAACGCAAATGTGTTGTCTTATAGTCTGGAGGTCAGCATCTGAAACAGGTCTCACTGGGCTAAAATCAGGGTGTTGGCAATTTCTTCCGGAGGCTCGGAGAGAATCTGCCTCTCTTTTTTTCAGTTTCTAGGGGCTGTCCACATTCCTTGGCTTGTGGCCCTTCCTCCACCTTTAAAGCCAGCAGTGGCATCACTCCCACCTCTGCTTCTGTTGCCATGTCCCCTTGTCGGACTCTGAATCTCCTGCTCCCCTCTTTCACTTGGACGGGCCTTTGTGACTATATTGAGCCCACCCAGCTCGTCCAGGATGATCTCCCCATCTCAAGGTCCTTGACCGAATCACATCTGCGAAGTCCTTTTTGCCACGTGAGGTGACATGTTCATGCGTTCCAGGGATTAGGACGTGGATGTCTTCAGGGAGCCATTACCCTGCCTACCACAGCAAGCAAATTTACTAAGATGTTTAAACCCAGCAATGAAATATCTGTTCGTGGAACCTTCTTGAGGGAGCCTAATGTTATCCATAAGTGCCTGGCGTGTGGTAGTGAGTAAACGTCGTGCTTCTTTCTCTCATCCGTTTCACCTACATTTCAGCCATCTGTGTCCATTTGTTCACTCCTGAGTCTTTTCTTTCTAATAGACGGTCAGTCCTTAGAAGCAGCTGCTGGAGATGATTCCACTGTGAAGTTTCTAAGGCTCCTCACAAAGGGTCTCCACAGGCCTTTGGATAAACGAGCCCTTGCCTAGCCTCCACCCTCCCTCCCCCAGGGTGTGAGGACCAGCTGATCAGTCCATGGCCAGAAAGAAAACTTTCTTATTTCTAGCCAATCAGAAACACACATGCCTTCCAGAAGATGGGGCCAGACATTTCTTTACTTCTCCCTCAGCGTGTCCTCACACAGAGCCTTCCTTACAGGCTCCTGAGAGGGTCCCTGTTCTCTCTGCTCCCTCTCCTTTTCTCCTTCCTTCCCCACCCCTTCCCCAGGATCCAGGCTCCATCTTGGCAGCAGCCCACAGGGTCATGAGGACCATTCATCCTGCACTATATCTGGGAAGGCAGAGCTAGGTGTACCCCTGCTGCCCCGCTTAGCACAAGTCATAAGACTTTCTGGTTCCTCAGAGCAGCACGTGAATAAGACAAATAAACCCTCCTCGCTAAGACTGACTGCTAATTTATATTATCATATTTAACATGTCTGCCCAGCTCGGCTATCTTCTAAGACACTCTCCTCACTGGAATAGGAGCAGAAGGAAGGAAGGCTTTCAGGGAGAGAGAATATTCCATTCTCCCACAATCAATTGAATAAATAATGAATGAATGAATGAATGAATGATCCAATGTCTTTAAACTCCTACTTTCTCATACCTCATAGAAGACTGGAAACTTTGGCCCCAAAACTTTGCCTTTACTGCAGAGGTTGACCCGCGCCCACATCTGCTTGCTTCTCTCTCCTGCGTCCAGTACACACCGCCTTTTTGCCCTGACTTTGCCCTCTCAATATACTGAGAGATATGTTTGACTACGAGAGCCGTCTGTCTTCCCTTTTGGAATGCTGGAAAATATGAAATTCCAAAAATGTCAAGTTGGAAGGTTATTTCATAATTGATGTTCCAGCCATCTCAGTATATTTTCTCAACTGTAATTGTCAAGTGCTCCACAATTGCTTCTGCCAAAATCTTTTCATTACCACACCAGTCATATTTCTGAATATTAATTTAAATTCATAAAGCATGCTAGCCCCTTCCTGCATAAGATGATGTAGGGTAACCATCAGTTAGCCAGGATAGCACGTGCGGTAATGTCAAATCCGTGCCAGGAATATTTTCCTGTGATCTTTCAGGGAAATTTTAGGCATCTCAGCAAAACTTTTAAAGAGTTCCCTCTTCCAGGAAAGACCTCCCAGAAATCTGCATGATGGGGCTCCTCCTGGAGTTGCCTGGGCAGGAACAATGCCTCTATTTGACTAAAATACATCTGAAGGAGGATTTAATCAGGTTGTCAGAAGTTGTGTCTTATGACAGCAGAGTTCCCCTCACTGCAGTTGGAGAGGGCAATTTGCATCATCTGAGTTGCTTCGTTATAGGTTCTCTGGCATAGTAGAAACAGGAAAAAAAAAAAACCTCACTGTGATCATCTTCTACGACGACTATGGATTTTCCACTCTCGACTGAAACCTTAAATGGGTGTGGCTTCATCAACTACCAATTTTTTTGAATATCAAGCTATGAAGACATTGAAATCAATTATGTTGGCTATAGGAATTGAGGTGTGGCAAGTCAACTCTGACATATAATGACTGCTTGTAACCCTTGCTGTCACAACCCACTTATCATAAATGATACCCTCATTAATAACCAAATTCACATCCATGTCTGCCTGATGGCCAGCCAGAAATCAGCCCAGTCAGCACCCACACCTCAAGCTAATGCATCTCTCTTATAGCTCTCTTTAGTTTTCCTACATTTTTTTCCAAACTCTGAAACTTTTTCATTCATCACACATGACTGAGAAAAGGAACATGATGTATAAAATACAAAATCAGCAAAAATGTGAGAAAAGCCATCACTTAAGAAATGAAGCTTGATGTTCCACATTGTCTTGACAAATGTAAACAACAGGCTCAGACTTTGGACATAATCAGATACAGAGATGGTTTGTATGATGTCAAGGGGATTTCAATTCTAAATGATTGAGAATGAGGTCACCTCAGCTAGGATACCTGCGAAAAATCAGAAATGCTATCAAAGATGGAGGTGCAACCTTCTAGATCAGAGTAGTCCCAAAGAACTTTCTGAGATGATGGAAATGTTCTAAATCTGTGCTGTCCAATATGGTAGCCATGAGTCACATATAGCTATTGAGTACTTGAAATGTGGCTGGTGCTACTGTGCAAGGGAATTTTTAATTTTATTTAATTTTAAATAATTTAAATATAAATTACCACAGCCCAGCTGTAGATCATAAAGTCGTCATGGAGGAGAGGCGTGCACATTTGGTCTGAGAGAATGAAGGTCACATCACACCTTCTGGAAACATAACCATCTATATATGGCTACACAGGCTTGCATGTAGCCTAATCTGCATATGTGCCAGTGACTGTCTTACCTGCTCCAGGTGCACTGTATCCATCTCAGTTATGCAGGATGAGGAACATATTCACTCAGGCATGAACAGAATCCTCATTCAGCATCCTCAGGTTCAGGCTAGAACAACCTGGTCCAGCAATATTTCTGAACTCACTGCTGAGGCCTGGATCTCTTGATCCAGTCAGCCCCAGATGTCTCTAGGAGTCACCCTGACAAACCCCTTGGGCAGCTAAAAGGCCTATCCTCCACCTGGGAATGGGAGTCAGAAATGGATACACATGGAGGAGCTCCCAGTTCAAATTGTTCCATTAAGTTGGGAGCACAGTTTTTAACTACACAGAAAATAGCTGATGGAAGCCCATGGCAATCAACAAATTATTTTGCCTCTAGGTCGGTATTGTTTTAACAAAAATATTATTTCCTTTCAATGTACGTAAAACAGCTTAGAAGAAATAGCAAAGAAGGATGGCTTGATCATTGGCTAATTTAGTATTAGAATTCAGGGGACAAGCATGGGTTCAGAGGCAGTAAATAATATTCTAGGAAATCATGAAAGAGAAAAGCTAGAGTTTATGACAAATATTTATTTATTTAGCAAATCTTCAAACATATAAAAGGAGTAAGAATAATATAATGAACCCCTATGTAGCTACCAAACAAGTCCGATAATTATCAACACATGGCCAATCTTGTTTCTTCTATATTCAACCCACTTTCCCTTCCATCCTCAATCCATTAAAGAAATTCCCAGACATCATATAATTTCACCTAAAAAATGCTTCAGTTTGTATCTCTAAAGATAAGACTATTTTAAACATACCACAATATCATTATCACATCTAAAATAATAATAATTCCTTAATATCATCAAATGTCCCTAATTCTCTTATGAGTTTTCAACACTTTGTACAAACCAGGACCCAAACAAAACCCACACATTGCATTTGGTTGATATGTCTCTTTTTTCTTTTTTAAGATTGGCACCTGAGCTAACAACTGTTGCCAATCTTCTTTTTATTCTTCTTCTTCTTCTCCCCAAAGCCCCCCAGTACAAAGTTGTATATTCTAGTTGTGAGTGCCTCTGGTTGTGCTATGTGGGACACTGCCCCAGCATGGCTTGATAAGTGGTGCCACGTCAGTGCCCAGGATCCGAACTGGTGAAACTCTGGGCCACCGAAGAGGAGCACACGAACTTAATCGCTTGGCCACCGGGCCAGCCCCTGATATGTCTCTTAAGGAGATTTTATTCTATAGCTTCCCCCTCCTCATTTTTTCCCTCTTGCCATTTATCTATTTAAATACACTGGGTCATTTGTCCTGTGGATTATCCCACATTCTGAATTTTTCTGACTTGGTGTCCTTGGTGTCACATAACGTGTTCCTCTGTTCTCTGTATTTTCTGTAGTTTTTTTGCAAATATTAGCTGGAATTCCTCTATAAAGAATAATTTTTCCTTAACAAATATTTGATTACCTTGAGGCATCATTTATGCAGAAAATGTAAGATGCACACTTGATTCTTTTCCCTTATTTACCAGTTTTCAGAATAATGAATGGTACCCTAGCAATCTCCTAAGTTGACCAATAGGAGTTTTTTTGAGGATTCATGAATTTTAATGTAATTTATGTTTCATTTCATTACAGTTATTTTTATTTTTGATGCTCAAATTTTCCCAGCTTTGGCCAATGGGAACCCCTTCAAGTTAGTTACTATGTTCTCCAGATGAAACCCCAGTAGTCTTGGATAACTTCCTCGATTTTTTTATATGAGATATTCAAGGCTCATCTTGTCCATCTCCTGCCTCTGAACTGGAATCAGCCATTTCCCAAAGGAGTCTGCTTCTTTTTATTGGGAAATAGTATTTAGAGACCCCAATCTGGGCACTAGGAATACTCATTGATTCTGGGTTGGTCATTGGTTTCAGATCTTTTTTGTGGACTATCTAGGAAATAATTTTGTAAAGATACTATACATTCTGAGTTCACACTGATAATTGCAATTCAAAATTAGAATTATAGAGTTTTTATTTCTTTGATTTTTCACTTTCTTTTCTCTTATGCTGAAAATCTTGGTTCCTAAGACATTAACATAATTCCTTATTTGTTTTATCCTACAAATATGTTCAAAATAATAATACTACCAACAATATGGTTACTGAAAATTCTTTAAGATTTCTTTGCAGGTTTTCCCCCCGGATTTTTGTTCATGTTTTGAGACTTTGTACTTAGGATATATATATATTCCACGAGGGGTGTGCAGTCAAACTAATGTTTTAAAGTCACTTGCAATACTGGTTTTCTGTGTGATTACATTATCAAGTGAACAGATAGTTAGGTTCATTTTTTTCTGTTTGCTTTCAATTTCTCAACATGCTTTTCCCATTTTGATTTAATTTTTCTTTTAATTTGTTAGATATGTACACAGTTAGAAGTCAAAACTACAAAACAGGGTATCTTTAGAAAAGTTTAGCTGTCACTCTTGTCCTGTCTGTTGCCTCCCTCTTTCTGTAGTAATCTGTTTTTTAGATTTTTATTTGCCCTTCAGTTTTTTTATATAGGCAAATTAATATATGTATATATATTAATATGTGTGTATATATTCATTCTTTTCCCTCTCAGAGAAAAAGTAACCTATTATATACATTTCCTGTACTTGGTTCTGCACCCACTTCTTATCAGTACATGGAGAACCTCTTCCTTCTTTTTACACTTACATAGCTCTCTAATATATGGATAAGCTTTAGTATATTCAGCCACTTCCCTACTGATGGACATTTGGGCTATTTCCAGTCTTTTGCTCTTACAAATAGTGTTATAATGAAAAGCCTGTGCATACGCATTTCTTATTATTAAGAGCATCTCTTTGGAATAGATTCCTACAAGTGGAATTCCTGAGTCAAAATGCATATACTTTTGCTAGCTATTGCCAAGTTCTTCTCCATAAGAACTGTGCCACTGAGCATTTCCACCAGCAATGAGTAAGTTGTCCCCTGTTGGATTTTTGTCACTCTGAGAAAGGAGTGGTGAAATAGTACCTCAGTGAAATGGAATTTCCATTTCTTTTTCTATGATCCATATACTAAGAGTTGAATTCCAAAGAAACAGGACTCCTTTTGGACAGTAACACCTTTTGAGGTTGTCAGAGGAGAAAAATCACTCCCTGGCTCCATTATATGTTGAGTAAAGAAGTTTCTCGTATGGATGGGCTCGAATTGTCAAGCTCTCATTCAGAGTAGCTCAGCCATGAGGAGTTTATGTAAATAAGCAGCCAAAATTCACGGAACAGAAGCTTCAAAGAGCTCCTTTAAGCAGCACAGGCCGTTGAATACCTTAGGAGGCATTTATACCCATCAAATAGTCCACGACAGTTTTTGAGAAGATTGAACCTAACTGGAGTTAGAGGTTCTTGGCACAATAAACAAAACCACTGGTTGATACTGAATG